CACTCACTGTCCAATCTTGTATGTACGGAGTTGTATTGGGAGTTGATATTGTCAGATCTGGCCACCCTCGAGCTCTAGATGTTTCAAAGGTAGGCGGTGAGTCCTGAGCGTTGATGACAATGAAATGCTTACTGTCCAAGAATTCTAGTACCGCAATTCCCCTTCGGTTCTCCGAGTCAGCACCCCATAGTTGACTGGTGGCGTTAAAGTCTCCTGCTATGATACAGTGTGATGCCCCAGTTAGAAGGTTAGAATTAAGTTCCTTCTAATAGAGAGGTAATATCTTCGCTCGGGGGTAGATACACAGCAATAATATCAATGCTGCAATTACTAGTGTCTAGTCTGATGGAGACTGTATGCTCTGTGATTTTCATTAGGAGAGGGGAGAGAGGGCCACTGTAAATAATCGCAGCTAGCTGATTCTTTGAGAGAAACGTTCTGCTGTGTGTTGGAACACTAGGAATCACTCCGTTGTAAACGTATGGCTCTTGGAAGATTCCGACATTGGCAGCAGTATGTGTCATTACTTGCAGCGTATTTATGGTTGCTGCATAGCACTTCTGCAAGTTACACTGTAAAAATCGAAGACCTGCTATATGTTTATTTAGTGTCATCTTGGTTTAGTTCTTAGCAGTGGTCCTTCTCAGGCTCTCGAAATGGGCTCCATACACTGGGCAGGAACTTGAAGTAGCTGGGTGATCTGTGCTGAAAGAGGTCCCCTTTTCAGAATTACTACTGCAGCAATTAGTGCAACTCACTTTTTCGAGCTACACTCCTGCGTCAGGTTTGCTGTTACCACGCTTTGCGCAAACTGGAGCGTTTTTACAGTTCCTGCTATAGTGACCGAACTCCTGGCAGTTGTAACAGCGTATGATCCTAATGTACGGACGGAGAGGACAAGACTCAAAACCCACTAAAAGACGGCCTAGCTTAACTAGGTGTTCTGCTGACTTAGGGTCTATGTCTATCACCCAGTTTTTCCTTCCGCTTTGCCCGGAACGGCTTGCTCGTATTTGAAAAGCACTGGGATTGAAATTGGGCAGTTGGTCTACAAGTGCTGCTGTTAGATCTTCTTTTCCTAGATTCTCAGGTACTCCAAAAATAATTACACTTTCCCTTCTTGGCTTGGGCTCCCGAAATTCAAGTGTCTCTAGTAGTGCTGGCCTGTCCTCGATTGCCTGTTTCAGGCGTAGCAGGTGAGCTTTTTCTCGACACCGGATGAGAAGCTCTCTGGACCTTGTCGGCCGAATCTGCACTAAAGTGATCCCTAGCTGGGAGGGTTTCAAATCTGCCGAAAGTTGAGCTTTAATCCCTTCGGGTGTCCGTGTGGAGTTCTTTGACCTTAATAATAGAACGTGCTCCGATAGAACTGGAGAAGATCTTGAAGGTGGAGAAGTTTTCCGCTTCTTTCGTGTCACCTCAGTGAAGGGAATATTCTTTTGTGGACTGTTCTTCTGGGGCTGAGGATTCCACTGCTTGATAAGACTCGGAATGTTGAGGATTCTCGTGAGATGGCTGTAAACTGTGTGCGAGTTGCTGTTGTTGCAGAGCCAAGACTTGTCCCTGTAGCTGGGCGAGATAAACCTCTTGTTCCGTTAACGTTATGCGAACGGTGTTCACAAAAGATGTAAATTGCTTTCTTTCAGAAGCGTTTAGTCTGCGAGATTCCTTTGCTTGTAAGATGAATAACTGGAGTTGGTTACAGATGTGGTTAATTGCTTCCAACCTGGAGTTAGGTGTCGATGTGCTAGCGGCACCTTTAACAGAAGGGGGAGAATGTTGAATATTATGCTCCGTGCCGGCTGGTGATGGGGGAGTATCCGAAGGCATAGTAAAGATGCTTTCAGAGCATAAAAAACGAATGATGAGATGAATGATGGATACACATGCACCTGCAATATTCCAGGAATACTGAGTTTACACGATAGCACTGTAAGGAAAGGTAGCAGAACACAATGCACACACTTCACAATGCTAAACTTGAATGAGGAGATGCATGATCAGATCGCATGCACTTGGGTTAGAGTACTAAGCATGTACCGTAGCAATAATAGATTAGATAGTTGCGAGAACACAATGTGTGCACTTTCACGGCACTAAAAGTGGATGAAGTGATGTATAATGAAACCTCATAAGCTAATAGACTTTCTTGTATATTGAGTATGGGCTGTAGCACTATAAGAGGAAAATATATATATATATATATATATATATATATATATATATATATTTTGTTTATATAAAATGTGACGCACACACTTTAACCTTATATACTAAACAGTTCTAAGTAAGCACAGACTGATAATCACGCACACTATTACACAGCACTGAATAATAACAAAATGACTATTAGAACACGATGCACACACTTTCTAGGACTAAACTCGAATGAGAAGATGCGCAATCAAATCACATAAACTGACAGTAAAGTATGCACTATAGCACTATAAGATGAGATAACTGCAAAAGAACACTATACTTTCACAGCACTGAAAATTTGATTAGGAAATGTATGAAGAAATCTCATAAATAAATTATCTTGCATAAATATTGAGTTTGCGCTGTAGCACTATGAGAGAAAAGATTAAAAAAAAAAAAAAAAAAAAGAGCAATAACATGTGCACACATTCACGGTAAACACTGAATAATAATTACGCACTCTGTACACTGTAACGCAGCGCTGTGTAAATAAAACGATGAATACTTGAGCACAATACACGCACTTTTCACTGCCCTAAGTAATAAGTAAGTACTGAATAATATTCACACGCACTATATCACAGCACTGAATCATATGATGAATACTGGAGCTCTTCGTAGCATTAAACTTGAATGAGGAGATGTACAATCAAATCGCATACACTGCCGATAAAGTATGTACCGTACTGCGAGAACACGATGCACAGACTTCCGGTATTAATAATGAATAAGGAAATGTATGGTGAAATCTGATAAATTTTCTTTACATATATTGAGTATGTGCTATAGCACTAGTTCGGACTGGGGTATGTAAGAGGTAAATACTTCGTAAGCGTTAAAATCTCTTTCAAAATAAGCAATGCACACACTTTCACAGATATGAACTTGGATGAGGAATTGCACTGTAGCACTAATAAAGGAAAATACTGCTTGAGCTGAATGCAAACACGCACTTGGCACGAATGATGTGTAGTACTAATAAAAAAAAAATCAAATGCACTGACAATCGTAAGATGATTACTACTCTTATGTGGCCAAAGATGGCGGTTGACAAACTTTTTCCCTCTTGTTTTGGGGTTGAAAAAAAAGCAGTTTTGGAAAGGGGTAGATTTAGAGTAGTATTCGATTACAAGCGCACCCCTGCGCTGCCTGTGGCCGAGACTGAGAGGAGGGGAGAATGCTCATCGGTGCAGAAAGACTTAGCGAGTGCAACAAAAGACATCTGTCTACTTTGTCTGTCTGTCTGTCCTTTTTCTTTTCAGCAGAAGTAAGGAGGGGCGGGTAACCGCGTTACTGTGTTAAAGTCACGACGATCAGGAACACAAGCCGGAACAGTAACACTTAGAAAATTAACCCCTTCGCGCCGACTGTCACGTATACGTGCCAGCAACGAACACACTTATCTAACCGGCCGACACGTAGGCGTGCCAGAGCATTGTTGCATTCTCTACCGACTGTCACGTATTTGTGCCAGTACCTTGGAACGTTTTTCAAACTATAATTTCTGCCACAAGATGGCACTGTATGTCCATATTGTTTCAGATACATGTGCATTAGACATTCTACTCGAAATGAGAGAAGCATGACTCACATACACGTGTTTTTGATTATATAAACAAACGGGGAACTAAATGTTTCCGAATGGCGTGATTTATGACGTCTCTTTAAATCGCACTTTATTCGCACGTGGTAGTTGTTTATTGTAAGTAGAAGTTTTATATGCGCTAAAGCGTTGAGTATTTCCGTTTACAGTTCAGTTTTTAGAAAATAATTAGATCTTGTTAGACGTGAATTCTTTCTGTTTTTACCGTTTCAATGTCGACGCGTCGAAAATGTTTAACAGAGCACGAAATAGCAGAAATGATGCAAAATATTTCAGATATTGATTCTGATATTCTGATATTGATTCTGAAAGATTAACTGAAAGACATTTTCCAAAACTTTGTTCAGAAGAGACTGATAAGAAAATGAGACGACGATGCTTCGTTTGTTCACATTCCCGGAAAATCCTCCAAAACGGCAAATGAGTTATTACGAGTTCAAGGAATGTAACGTAGGACTGTGTGTAGATCCCTGTTTTCAAATTTTTCATACGAAAAGAGAATTTTAAGTAATATATTTAGTTTTCAGATTATAATGTTAAAAGTCATAAAATAGTGAGTAATTAAAATAAAATGTGTAAATATGTATTTAAACAAGAAATAAGGTAATTAAAGTATATATATATAAATATCTATAAAGCATAAGCCGTTTAAATACTGTATAGAGCATTATTAAACAATGCGTTGATACTTCGGAAATTTCATGGATTTAGGCTTAGTAGCAAAAAAGCCCCCGGCCCTGGAGAGACGCTCGCGGAAGACACTGCCGGCCTCCGCGATAAGCGCGCGTTTTCGCTACCCGGCTCGAAGGGGTTAATTAAATAATCAGTGAATAATGATGAAACTTACACAACTGAAGTCCTAGTGCTTTTCTGTAATTGCAGATACAAAAAAAAAAATCTCTTGTAAGCCTGAATATTCCGTTCACCGTGAAGCAAAATGTGGGAGCAAAATTCATACGATCACTTATCTCTGCGTATAGACGCTACTCTCTTGGTTCATGAGTTCTAGTTCCCCCCCCCCCCAGAAATTATTATTGTTATGATTTTGCTTGGTTCAGTTAAATTTCATTTATTTTTTTGTTCTAAATAGCAATATATAAATAATATTCAATTACATCTATTAATGTTAAGATTTTTAATAACAATAATGTAACTTTTAAGATTTGTTTGTTTATATTATCTATTTGCTTTACTCTAGACATCTTACCATGCAGTGCTCATTGGAGATATTTGCCGTTCTCGAAATTCTGATTTAAAGATATTTAAAGAGGTAAACATTTTATTTTACACATATTTCTGATATTAATTTATTCCTAAATTTATCATTTCTAATTTTAATTTTGAATTAAAAAGAAGTCTTTTAGATAGGTGAAACTTTCTCTACGGATTTGTTTCGGATTGCAAGCTTGCTAGACAAAATAGTAAGTATTGAAGAAAAAGTTTGTTTTTTTAAGTTAAATTATTATGATTTAATACAATTTACTACTCAACTGAAATGCACTAAATGATAATATTTTGACCCTATTAAAAGTAATTGCTTTAAATTATTTGGATTTACTTTTATAATTTATAAAGCTTTCGATCTAAGACATTACAATAAATTATTTATTAAAATTGATTACATAATTAAAAAACGTTTATATTTCTGTGAACAATTTCATGATTAAAATGTTTAATTTATGTATTTAGAAAAAATGTCTTTAAGGAAACCAGAAAGAATGTGTGCTTAGCTACCCTCCTTTTCTTAAATAAAATTGTGTTTATACAGAATACACTGCTTTACCTCCATTACTTTCCGGATTAAAGCGTGGCTTTCTCGAAGGTCACGATTAAAGTGCAATCTTCATTGATCAATATATTTTTTGACAGCCTTTAAATTTTCTCCTGTAAATTTTAAGAAATCAGAGGCATTCTTCACATTTAACTCTGCTTATGTTGTGATCAGCACATAGATCATTAATTACATTTGTGACCAAAATTAAGAGGCAAATTATGTCTATTCTTATGAAAAATATTGAACAAAAGGTACTAATTATGCTGCTGAAGAATTATAAAAATTTGCACATTCGAATATGTATTGTACACGTGTGCATCTGCAGAGTTGTAATTATGGTGGAGATATAAGTGTATGAGGTGTTTACAGCAACTTTTGTGCTCATGCACTTTCATAATATTCGCCGTGGTTCTCGCAAGAACTGCATAAATTTTGTTAGGTATCAGGTATAGTTTGGCCACCTCATCCGCGACCATGAGCGCAAACACGCATGCGCCATTCGGACCGAATTATTCTCAAAATAGGGTGGAAGGATGGAGACTTACTTTCCCTCCAGCTTATCTCTTTCCGGAAAAGAAAAGACCTTTCACGTCGCAGCAAGTTATACCGCTCTTTTTGGACGAGTCTATGTGTTCTGACCGAATGCAAACAGGGCTGCGTTTGAGACGGTCGAACTAAAAAATGAGTAGCTACGAATGTATGGATGACGAAGTGAGATGGTGAATTGTTGGTGGATTGGAGGTAAGCCAGTCACAAGCACAGGTGGCTACAAAGCTCAATGTCTACAGATTGCTGAAAGAGTTTCAGGATGCTAGTTCCATATCAAGATGACTTGGGGAAGCTCACCGTGGCGAACAGGATTGCTACAGTTTCTCAACTCTCATATGAGCTGTATTGTGCCACTAGAACCCAAGTTTCATGGTCTATAGTTGCCCAAAGGCTTCATGCTATACGGTCGTAAGCCAAAAGACCCGCTGTTTGTGTCTCACTGACTGCAGCACACTGACAGTGTGCTTAGCGTGGTGGAGACAAGATTCACCTTGGACCAAACTTCATTGGAGCACCGTACGTTTCACAGAGCCGAGATTCAGCTCGGACTCTGATTCTTAGCGTACCTCTATCTGGAGAACGCTTGGAACACGATACCATTCCTCTCTTATCAGGCAAAAGGACTATTATGGCGGTGAAGATGTAATGGTTGGGCAGGCATTATGCTAGACAACTGCGTACCCCTGCATGTATTTGGCAAAGGCTCCCTGGCTGCTGTGGGATATTGAGAGATATCTTACAGCTTCATAGTCAACTTTTAAGGGGCCTAGTTACTGGACGAAAATGCTCGCCCACATAGAGTCTAGCTGATTGCAAATAACCTGGAAAGTGAGGATGTGTCTCATGGAGTTTCCAGCCAGATGCCTTAATCTTAACCTTATAGAACATGTCTGGAATGCTTTTGGGAGGGCATTTTCACCTAGCCATCCTGATCTGAGAACTGTCAATAGAATTCAAAATGTTGAATTCATTTATAATCTATAGAAGGTGATTCTCGTTAAGTTTGACCACTGGAGGCACTGACTGACAGAAAATATTGCTGTTATTCAAGAGGAAATATTGAGTGATAAGAGCTGAAAAATCAGGGAGATAGCTTCATGATTCGATCCGCCTTATGGCACTAAAAGATGTGAACTTGATCTTGGTTTAAGAAGACCATTTCCCCTGGCACTTCATTATTGTTGATGTATCGCAACTTATCATTAGTGCAGATTTTTTAGATAAATTTGAAATTTTGGTGGACATTAAAAGTCAACTTTTGATCGATAGCCTTATCAACTCTAATTCTAAAGAGTACAACACTTTCAGGCCTTTTTTGGAATTAACTTTCATTGACAATGCCCTTAATAGGAAAATTGTAAACAAATTGCATGAATATTTAATCTTACAATAAGTACAAGCTCAAACTCATAATGTGCAGCACTCCCTTGAAACTAAAGGCCATCTGTCTATTCAAAGGTTAGGTAAATTAAAAAATTAGCAACTTTAAAAAAAGAGTGCAATGCTTTAATGAAGAAAGGAATCATTCAGCCTTCTGAAACGCCTTATGCTAGTCCTTTACATTTTGTTAAAAACAAAATGTTGACTGCAGAATTTTTGGTGCTTTCTGGAAATTCAATTTCGTTTCTTTGATCCTTATCCTTTACCACACATACATGACTATTTTCAATGTTTAACAGAAAAAAAAGATTTTCAGTAAAATATATCTTGTCAAGGCTTATCACCAAATTCCTATGGAACAACCTGATAGAAAAAAGACAGCAGTAAATCATTCCCATTGGATTATATGTACTTGTGCACAAACTTGACATTTGTATTAAGAAATGCAGCTCAGACATTTTAAAGATTTATTGATCAAGTTTTATGAGGTTTAGATTGCTTTTGTGCTTACCTAGATGATGTATTCACAGCATCAGAAGGTGAAAACACACACAAAGCCTATTTAGAAAAGGTGTTTGAATGATTCAAGCGCTCTTGACTTAATTTAGCTAGAGCAGATAAAAGCTGTAATTGAATACCCACTACCTAAGACTGTAGAGGACCTAAGGTAATTTCTCACAATGCTTAACTTCTACCATCATTTTATATGAAATGCTGCTAAGACCCTAAGCTTTCCTCTATGATTTGAAAAGCTAAGAAGGACAAGTCAGAAATTACATTGGATGATAAAATGAAAGATGATTTCAAAACCTGCAAACAATTATTCCCTAATCCTACTATGTTGGCACATCCTGTTCAAATGGGAAACTTTCATTAATTCCCGATGCTTCAGAAATAGCTATTTGAGCCATACTACAACATGATGTTGGGGAGAAGGTGGAACCCTTAGGATTTTATTTCAGGAAATTAACATCTTCTGAATGTAAGTGCAATACTTATGATAGAGAACTTTTTTAGATATATTCAGCAATTATTTTTTGACACATGGTAGAAGGTCAAGATTTCGTGATATTCACCAATCACAAACCTTTGATTTATGCCCTGCAACGAAAGCATGGTAAAGCAACAACTTGTCAAAATCATCATTTAGAATTTATATCACAATTCACTAATGATCTTGAGATCACTTGGGATTTCAAAAAATTTCAATTCAAAGTTTTTCTGAGCTTCCACGCCGCTCAGGGAAGGTGAACCTCCCTCCCGAGTTATTTTAATAACTAAAATAAGAATTGGTGCAAAAAATGTTTACATTTTTTCACCAATTCTTTACATTATTAAATGATTTCCATGTAAATCAAGTTTTTATTCAGTTTTGCTTTTCTACCTGGATGAGATAGATTAAGTAACATTTCAAAAACCTGAAATCTGAACTTCTTAGGTACATATGGTCGAATTTTTTTAAAGATATATCACAATAAATTAGAAGCTTTATTTTAAGAAAAATTTAATTACTTTAATTGGTAGCAGAACCGGATTTTAGAAGGGTTTGCAACTTGCTATCATTTCCCTGCGCACAGGCCATTTCATTTTAATCAACAGCCTGAGGTGATTGAATTTTGAAACTCTCCAAAAAAAGCGTCTACTGTAACATTTCAAAAACCTGAAATCTGAACTTCTTAGGTACGTATGGTCGAATTTTTTTAAAGATATATCACAATAAATTAGAAGCTGTATTTTAAGAAAAATTTAATTACTTTAATTGGTAGCAGAACCGGATTTTAGAAGGGTTTGCAACTTGCTATCATTTCCCTGAGCACAGGCCATTTCATTTTAATCAACAGCCTGAGGTGATTGAATTTTGAAACTCTCCAAAAAAAGCGTCTACTGTATTATTACTTCCAGAAATATATCTCAGATAAGTGGTGATATAAATTCTAAATGATGAATTTGACAAGGTGTTGCTATCTCATCCAGATATAAAAGCAAAACTTAATAAAAAAAAACTTGATTTATACGGAAATCATTTAATGATTTAAAGAATTGTGCAAAAAATTTTTAATATACCAAAAAATCTAAAATCCACTGGCACACTAAAAGCTCTCTTGGTACATTTATGTCAACTGATGCCAGGTTCAGCCATATACATATAGATATAATAGGCCCACTTCTGCCATCAGATGATTACCATGTAGGGTTTATATTTATTTTAACTAACATTTATTTTAAGCTATCTTTCCTGTCAAGCCTTTACTTTCCCCTGAAATTGCCAATGCCAGAGTATGTAAATTTTATTAGAACGAGCAAAGTATTCAAATTTTCAGCGGAAGTAATTTTAAGTTAAATAGAAGGGAAACGAGTTTGTAGGTGTGCTTTCTTGATTCACGAGCGTGAAGGTAGCTAGGTAGAAATTTAAGACCGCGCGTTTCGGCCTGTGTGCTTGCTTCGGCAGTTAGTTGAATCTTTCAATTTTTTATTCAGAAAGTTTGCTGAAATCTCAGCTGTATCTTAGAACGCGGTTAAGTTAGTCACGTTTAGAGAGCCTCGTAGGTAGTGATTCGTTATTATTCATTTTTAGTTGTACTTATTTTTATTTAACCGCCGGGTCGGCGTAGTTTGTGAGCGTCAAGTGAACGCATCTGTAACTTCTAAAGTGGAATAAAAAGGGAGTTAAACCCTTCTTAAGAGTTTGTGTACTTTCCAGTTCATAGCAGTCACTAC